TCAGCACATGGGAGTTCTTTCTAAGCTTTCTTTGATTTTTTTTCTCATAAATGAAAATAAAATGAGTACAACAAATACTTTAATTAGAATAGAAATTAAAACTTGTAGGGGATGCAGCCAGAAAATAGTATAACCACTATAAATCCATTTAAGTTTTCCTGCTTTTTACTACAGATATAGTTTTCACATTTGGCACTTATTCATAAAAACAACCAAAACAATAATTTTATAAAAAATTATTTAAAATATTTAAGAGAGAATTACAAACAAAAATTTGTTTTCTGAAAATATAAATTTGTCAGACGTTTTACATCTTGACCAATATTACGATAATATTTTGAAAATAATTAAGTTTGACAAATGTTTAAGTGTAGGGAATACATTGAGATATTGTGTCAGGTAATTGTGGACTGGTAATTGTTAAAAACAAGCACTAACTGAGATTCATGCTATCTGTTCATATATCCAGAAATCTGAGTTCTGTAAAAAGCAGAGATGCCATATTTGCTATATTAGTGGCTCATGTGCTTTAATATGTAAATTCCAAATTTATCTATTGGTAAAATAAGTAATATTTAAATGTTTTAATATACAGCCAATGCAATCTTTGTTTTATATGGACTTCTAATGAAAACAGATATGTTGGTATCCCTATATAATATGAGGTTATTACGAGGATACCTCAAAATATGCACAAAGGCAGTACAGCTTGAGTATCGACCGTCGCGCAGCAGAGGTCGATGCATGGTTTACTGTCTGAGTGCATACTTTGAGGTATTCTTGTGATAACCTTATTATCGGTATTATACATCTTTTCCTTCCAAGGATACACCATAGGAATGCCGAAATCCAAAAAGTTGATAACAGAATTTTCTAATATGGTATGATGAAAATACCTACAACGTTTATCACCTTTTACCTGCGTAAAGCTTCCCGGTCAATACGAAATGATGTCTATTCAATTAAAAATTTAACATAAAAATATGCTAAGTAGGGTAAGTGATGGTGCTCAAAAGCTAAACATGAAGAGATTTCAGTAATGTCTCGCTGCTTTTTTCCAGAGTTGTCAGGTTGTTTAAATCTTCGAACATATTTAGGACCAGGTATTAAAAATGGTTTGACTGCATGGACGGACTTACCAAATTATATAGACCATCCAGTGCATCGAGATCGAACATTTTTATACTATTGTTGTGTATCTGTAGAACTTGCAGCCAATGCAAACTGGCAAATGCTCGCTATTCAGTGCTTTCAATACTGCATGTAACTATACTGAGATTAGTTGTAGAGCTGTAGACATCGCTGTTAAACAGCGGTTCTGAGGGCTGCTAGCTTTGATGTTGTGATTTGCAGAGATATCTCCCCCATTCAGCATGTCATCACGAATTGGGAATTGAGTCATTCCATTGTACGAGGCAGTTTTCAGATAACACTGCGTTCAGCAGTGCAGTCACAGCCATGTGTACATAAACCGTTTATACCTCTCATAAACAAAACCAATGAGAAGATTATTAATATTGCACATGGTGTTGCCAGGACCACAGTCATTTCAAACAGTTTTATTAGAATAGAAAAACAATGTCTTTAATTCTTTGACATTCCAAAATCCACTTTTGTCAAATTGTTGCATCTAATTTTGTGAGGGGTAAAAGGTTAATATCTAAATAACAAATGTATTTTGTTCACATTTGATAAATGTATTGTGATTAATTTGGAATAATTTAGGTTGTTTTCAACAAAATGGTGAAGAGTCACTTTGCCCATGCACTAGTAAAAACAATATTCAGGTAAGATTTGGTCATCTTTATGTGGTTTTATTTAAATAAAAACAAATTTCCAAATCATAACCATTGTCACTTTAATTTGTTATTATACAGAAAGTCATGAATATGAATAATAATTTCTTCGTCTCAGCTATATTCATGAATGATTCAAATTGGATGTATCGATTTTTTTTTTAATGTTCACGGATAGCCAGAAATGGATTTAATTTGGTAAAATGCAAATATATCCCGTGTTAAACCAGTGTACGTACCAGTGCCGTGAATGTGCTATTGTGAGATACCAAATCAGTATTTTAAATTTATTTTAATTCTGTTTTATGCTGGCAAAATGGTGACATTATGCTATATAGACAGTTCACTGTGGGGAAAGGTCACTTTACCAAATTAGAGTATTAAAGGGAAACCAGTATAATTATAAGCTCCAGTGAGCGTCACTGTCGTCAACACATTGGCAGAGCCTGTGCAATGTAGTGGTGTGTACAATGCTGTTCAGCAAGTGATATTTTTTGTCAAATAGGTTTATTATTATAAGTTCATGAGCATTGTTCATTTGTTACGCAGTCTCAAAATCTTCTCATAATCACAACAATGTTAGCTGTGATAGAAGTCAATTGGACTGGTGAAGAAACAAAATCATTGGTTGTTGTATGGAAGGAGCACCAAACTCAAAGAATTAGATAAAAAGATATTAAAAATAAAGAGAATGGCAAGCACAAGTGAGTAAAAAAAGTTGTCCGTGAATTTTAAAGCGAGGCAATCATAGTGGCGGAAAAAGAAAAAGTCTTGCGATTGTTTTCCCATGTCATCAAAACAATTTGTGTCCAATTATTTTCTTGTTCTGTTGTGTCAAGTCTTGCCACTGTCACAAAGTTTCCTTTCTTCAGTTGAAAATAATCCATATTCAAATCAAATTGAACTGATCTTTTGTGCCTAATCATTTTGTAGCATGATATATGTAGCCTGTCTGCTGTTAAATATCTGCTTATTTCCATGCCCATTGTGTTGCCATGGCATGTCATCATGTAAAAACTTTGATTTTATTACATTTAAATTGTTACCCTTAAAATATGCAAATAAAAATATAACGCCTGTCTAGATTTTAACAAACAAGATTAATATTTATTATAATAATGCTGAAGTTACACATCTGTATTGATATGATCATGTCATATCACCATCCAAATGACCTATGGGAAATTTATGCTATAATTCTCTAAATCAAGCCTACATCACAAATTGGTCAAAATCCCCCAAACATTGCCAGCAACCAATCACAGACTAGCTTAAACAATAGCTGTCCCTGATGATAACTTGAAAAATCGTTTGTTTTTGTCTCGTTTCCGTTTCCGGTCCGTCTTAGAGAATAACATTAACCTTGACTTGACCTTTTGAAGTTCTGCAGTGTGTTCGCCGTTATTTTGATGTGTCAATAAATCTTTGAAACTCAAGTTTTTGTTTGCAATTCATCATATCTAAACATTCTGTTTTGTAAACTATGATATTGTAATTAGCAATCATGACATAATCAGCAACCATGACATCATAATCAGTGACCATGACATCATAATCAGTGACCATGATCTTGTAATCTGCAACTATGTTGTAATCAGCCAATGTTTTCATAAATTGTAATAATTTATGCATTTTTGGCAGACTTTGAAATTGCACCAAATCCACCAAAAGAGTTTTGTGAATCATGGCTCGCTTTATATTGCTCAATCTGGTAGCTATTTAAAACATTCACAGTGTTGACTGCAAGTCTATCTAGAATAGTGAAATTTCATAGCTTGATTTGTTTAACCAAAGACATTAGAAAAAGAGGGACACACAACTGTGGTATTTCCTTTCATGTCATAATATAGAGGAACTGTAATCCAGATTTCATCGCAAGCATCTTAATAAACATTCTGAAAATATCTCATATTTTTCTAATGTCTTTGGTTTAACATTGCCCTTGAATCTGAATAGCATAATGATAGTTGTAAAATTAGCACCTGAATATGAATAACTAATGATAGTTATCAAATTGGCTCCTGAATATAAATATCATAATAGTTGTATAATCGGCCCCTGAATGTGAATAATAGCATAATGATAGTTGCAAAATTGGGCCCTTGAATATAAATACCATAATGATAGTTGTAAAATTGGCTCCTGAACATGATTATCAAAATGATAGTTGTAAAATTGGCTCCTGAATATAAATAGCATAATGGTAATTGTAAAATTGGCTCCTGAATATGAATAGCATAATGGTAATTGTAAAATTGGCTCCTGAATATGAACATCAAAATGATAGTTGTAAAATTGGCTCCTGAATATGAATAGCATAATGGTAATTGTAAAATTGACCCCTGAATATGAATAGCATAATGGTAATTGGAAAAATTGGCTCCTGAATATGAATATCAACATGATAGTTGTAAAATTGGCCTCTGAATATGAATAAGCATAATGGTAATTGTAAAATTGGCTCCTGAATATGAACATCAAAATGATAGTTGTAAAATTGGCCCCTGAATATGAATAGCATAATGGTAATTGTAAAATTGGCTCCTGAATATGAATAGCATATGCTAGTAGTTGAAATGGCTTCTGAATATGAATACCATGATAGTAGTAGATGTTATCAGCAACTATAACCTAAATGGGAACTACCTACAGTGTACAGAAGTTTGAGGCTGTCCGAGACCTTCAATACTCAGTTCAACTTTCACCTTGCTTAGTCGTACCGATTTGGCATCCATGTCATCAATTCACTTCTCATCACTTTCTCTCACATTGCATATTTTCAACATGCATTTTAGTGCACTACACTAGGGATCAAACAAATTAGCTCAGCCATGGTAATTTTATTGCTAATTAGATCATTCATTTTCCAAAAATTTCTGGTTCCACCGGCAACACAAAATGGACAAACATAGAAATACCGGTAACGCAGAGTACGTTTAGGTCTATGCATTAGTAAAAGCACGGTGGTCGTCGCGCAGCGCATGTTTGATTTTCATGTAAATAAACAATGAATTTTAAACGTGTTGTATACGTCGATATGAGTCCCATATCGAACAGGCCGCGACACGACGACTGTCGCCCTTTAATGTAAATATGAAAAGCATGTGTGATGGAAAAGCAAGAAATGGATGACCCAAATGTGATTAGTGGGCATCATTATATTGAAGAATGAGTGACAAATAACAATTAATGCACTGTGCAAATCGTGCGAAAAAAGTAAGTTGGGTGAAAGCTATACTGTATTCACACCCCCTACAGCACTTCACTGTCGTCCCATAGCCTCATCGGTATTCGGAGATTGTCGGAGACCGATAAACCGTCATGTTCATGTTTCTTGGAGCATCTTCTGTAAGAGTACACTAATATCATAAAAACTACTCCAAGAATTATGACACATCCAATAATTGAACAGATAACAATTGTTATTTTGAGTGAATGCGATGTCTCTGTATTGGCGGCACTAGGGAGGATTGCGTCATCTGAGCATGTCATATTGTCTGTAGAGATATCCCAAACAGACTGCCCTGTTAAATTGGGAGGTGACTTGCATTCCATATCGCCGAACATTCCCTTGAGAGTAGCTGTGTCGTTGTACTCATCATGATACCTTTCCACAAAACCTTTGAGTACACAATCACATGACCATGGGTTGTGAGACAGCAGGATGGCTGTTTCCTTGGTGATTGACAGTGGAACAAATACTTCTTCTGGCAGTCTATTAAGCTGATTGTTGGACAGTTCTAGTAACTGTAACTTGGACAGCCCAAGAAAAGCATCAATTTCAATGTTTTTCAGATCAGTGTTTGTGATTCTCATGTGTGTTAGATTCGTCATCGTGACGAAGGCTTGAGACTTGATTGTTGTTATGTGGTTTCCACAGAGGTGCAGAACCTTGAGATGCCTCAGAACACCGAGGGCGCTGCTTGGCACTGCCTCAATACCATAATTGTCATTCAGACTCAGACTGAGTAGATTTGGAGCACTTTGAAACGCAGTCGCGTCAATTTGGTGGATGCCTGTAAACTGAAGATCCAGATTTTTTAAAGATGGCAGTAATTTGAAAATAGTACTCGGTACTGAATTTAAAGGATTGTACCTTAATTTAAGAGTCTCTAGAAGTGGCAGTTTTGGTTGAAATATTTCTGGTCTCAAGTTGTCTAAACTGTTATAGCTCAGATCCAGAAATTTCAGGTTTCTCACGTATGTAAAAGCAGCATCCACGATGTATGTAAGTTTGTTACTGTGTAGTTTTAATTGCTCCAGTAATGGCATTCCTCCCAAGTATTCTGGGTTTTCTAAACTCCCAAGGTTGTTATTCCCCAGCGAGAGCATCCATAAGTTGTCCAAACCCTGGAAGGAACCAGACTCGAGATTCAACTTCAAAGAAGCAGACTCAATTTCAAGCCAGCTCAGCGAATTCATTTCCCCAAACAAATTTGCTGTTATCTTGTTTATATTATTATTCAGTAACTTCAGAATTAAAAGATTTCCAAGACCATCAAAAGCGTCTTGGCGCATTATGCGAATAATGTTGTTCTCAAGGTGAAGATGCAATAGTAACGGGGCATTGGCGAAAGCTCTGGTGCTGATTGTCTGGATATGTCCATCTATGATCATCAAGTATTCAAGTTTTGTATAGTCTTGAAATACCTGGATCGGTAGAGAGAATCGTGGGGTTTGGAACACTAGTTTTTTTGTGTAAATTGGCAGTGATGGTGGTATAGATGTGAAATTGACACAGTTCATCTCATATGCCATGCAGGTGCAATTTTCGGGACATTCGTTAAAGGTCTCTCTGTCTCTGTTATTTCTCTCCGGAGTTACCTCATGCAGAGTGAAGATGACAATAATGATGAGGCTAATGAAAACCATCATGATTCTTATTTCAAAGTTAGATATTATTTTAGGCTTAAAATCTATATTAATATCATTTTTTTCTTCCAATTATTCTTCCTGCACAGACATATTGTCTTGATTAGGTGACCCAATTCTGTCTGTTTGTTTTTCTTTTCTTCGATATATTTGCCAGCTATGTTGCTGTAGTAACAGTGGGCATCATTCTGTAAATGAGAATAATTTTCAGGATCTAAAAATAATTATAAATAAAAAAAATAAAAATGTTCAGTCTTTCAATTGTATTGCATGTACCATATTTGTTCTATTATAAGCGCATTCGCTTATGTAAGTAACAGAAGGTGTGTCTGTGGTCAAAATAAGTAATTTTTTTAATGATCCAGTATAAAATAAATGGTAAGTTTGTCAATATGCTCTTCTAATAAAGCAAATATGGTAAATTGTTTCAATAGATTCTTGACCAATTCCCATTTTGTTGTGATTCTTATTACGGTAATATTTACAAGTACCATATTAAAAACACTTCTCTAATAGAACTGCACCCAAACATTGCTTGCATTGTATCTTGAATCATAAAAACATGAATTATAGACATACCTTTGTCATTTAGGTAAGAGCATGCATTACTATAATAGAGTAGTTACAGTAATTGATTTTAATTTAAAGTAATTTGAGTGCTTTGGGTGAAATTTTCCCAATTACAAAGACATGTTTCTATTGAGTTTATTGAAATATTTCCAAAATTTAATTGGATAGTCCGGGGACATGTATAGTGTATAATCCTAAAGTTAATTTCACACTGAATGTTTGAGTTTTATGGGCCATTGGAATATGTGAATAAAATAGCAATGTTCATAATACAGTCAATACAAATTAAGTCACCCATGCAGTCACTGGAAAATATAACTTTCCAATATTAGATTACTCCTCAGTGTGGTGGACAAGTCAATTGAAAACAACAACTGTAGGTCACATGCATGTACATGTATACCTCTACATGGCATAGATTACACAATTGTAATTCTCATCTTTTCATACTGGTTACATATAGAGTTACTTTTTCTTTTTTAGCATTCAATAAAAGACTTTTGTGCTTTAAGTGAAAGATTTAATTCACTTACTGACTTTTAGTTGACCCTTAATTCTTTGTATCTTGATCCCAGGATGGCATAAAGGTCACCCCTAAAGTACCAGATAAACATATGCACTATTTAAGTTAGATCAATTTGAACGAAAGGAGAAGTCGGGAAGTATTGATCACTACTGAGCTTCATTCTCTTTGTTCAACCTGGGACTGAGTGCTCCTAAAAAACTGATTTCCAATTCTATGTATAAGCATGCATATTGCCAGAGTGCCACAGTGCTCCCTGTGCTATAGAGCATAAAGATAAAAACAAGTTTTATAATATGTAAGATAGAATGCAGTTGCTATGGTCCGAATTATAAACTATTTTCCCATCTTACCTGGGAAACAAATGATAGGTAGTGAACTGTGAATTTTTTATGAATGCTACAGAGACAATATATTATTATTAAACTTTATAAAGACATACACCCATGTAAAGTTCATTGTCCAATGTCCCTTCACAAATGTACTGAATTGATCTATTACTTACTGTAAGTGCTTAGGACAACCTCAGATGTCAGTAGTGCCAGCTTTTCTTTGCTGCCCTAGATCTAAAAGGAAATCTTTTCAGGTAGACTGATTTCACGCTTTTGTTCATTCATATGGAAAGTCAATGCAAATGTTTGTTGACCTCTATGTATTCTTTGTTGGGGGTCGCTGTGTCACAAAGGAGAATTGAATTCTGGACAGCTGTTTTTAATTAAACGCCTTGTTTATAATCATTAGATTAAAGGTTGATTATTAATCCAACAATATTGACATTGTTATTCTCATTGGGATTTGGAATATTAATGAAAACTCACAACAATAAACAAATATTCACTTCACTCCAAGCCATGTGTATACTTTATTTTCGCTTGGAATTTATTTTCGTTATTTCCGCTGAAGGGATGATTACGTGAAAATAAAATCTAGCGAATATACTTTTTTTCCTATATTTCACATTAAACTTATCAAAAATCAGTAAAAATAAATTCTATACAAAACGCCCAAAATGTCTTTTCAGCAAAAATTAATTCCAGCGAAAATAAAGTATTTCACACTACCTTCAAAATCATCAAAATCGAGCATTTCCCGGTTGTTTACAGATGGATTTTGTTCAAACCTTGTATATACATTGGACATTATAGGACCTTGATGTACATCATTTTGCTTTACGATCTGATTCTTGCCATTTTTTTATGTATCTGAAACTTTATTGTATTTTAAAAATCCTGAACAGGGTATGATTTCAATAAAAGCATTTTTATTGTACCTCTTTATTTTTATGACGTTAGCTGTTTTCATATTTGTTTCAAGCGCATACAGATCATTATAATTCAATTTTTACTGATGTTGATATCAAATTTATCAGAGGATAAATTAGTACAATTTTCAAAAGTTAAAAAAAACAATTCTGCACTCTTTAAATTAGTAATTGTTTTGCAGTGTCACAGGGTGAAATGTTTGGAATCTTCTGCATAAATTATTGTGTCAATTAAGAGCTGCCTTTGTAATTTGTTAATATTTTTGTACCACCTAATACCAAAAATCAACATTTGAACATGTCATCAACCATTTCTGAGGTATGCCTTGGCAGATTTCATTCAAACTTGGTAACGACATAACCCATGGTGGGTTATACTTAAGCATGTCGTTTTGCTGTGCAATTTGATTGATGATTGACACTAGCTATTTTTTTTTTCTCATGCATACTATCCTAGATATACTTCTCAGATATACTTCAGTTGATTATGTTTGAATTTTGGTACAAAGACATGATGGTATGAATCCTCTCTTCTGTTGTTTTGGATTTTGATGAAATAATTATTTTTGTCCCGAAACCTCAAATTACAAACTTTTAGTATGTCATCAACTGTTTCTGAGCCATGCCTTGGGTAATTTTATTTGAAACGTGATATGAACAACACACACTTAGTTTTAGTGATTTCATTCTATTCATGATGTTCAACTGGTGGCTGTGTTAGTTTTACTTTTATCTGTCCTAGCTGAAAGTCTTCTTGGACATACATGTCTTAACTGTTGTTGGAAGATATTACAAGAAAAAACATAATTATGTGTCATCAAGTGTCAATTCAGTCCAATACAGGGACTATGTCATTGACAATATCTCGTTAATTCATGCAATACTGAGTTTATTAAAATTAATTACCTTATGGTGTGAAATGAGTAAACACAAGCACAAAAAGCATTTATACGCTCACTATTCTCCCCAAGCATTCATCAATCTATTCATCACTTTTCCCATGCAGACGCCCAAGCATACGCATCTACCAACAGGGACATTTATCCACCCATTTCTCTCCCCATGCAGACACCCATTCAGACACATCTACCAACAACAAGGACATTTATCCACCCATTTCTCTCCCCATGCAGACACCCATTCAGACACATCTACCAACAACAAGGACATTTATCCACCCATTTCTCTCCCCATGCAGACACCCATTCAAACACATCTACCAACACAAGGACATTTATCTACCCATTTCTCTCCCCATGCAGACACCCAAACATTTATCCATCCATCACTTTTCCCATGCAGACGCCCAAGCATACGCATCTACCAACAACAGGGACATTTATCCACCCATTTCTCTCCCCATGCAGACACCCATTCAGACACATCTACCAACAACAAGGACATTTATCCACCCATTTCTCTCCCCATGCAGACACCCATTCAGACACATCTACCAACAACAAGGACATTTATCCACCCATTTCTCTCCCCAAGCAGACACCCATTCAGACACATCCAACAACAAGGACATTTATCCACCCATTTCTCTCCCCATGCAGACACCCATTCAGACA